TAAGAAATCGAAAAGTCAAGACAGCAAAGTCGAAAAAATGTAAGCTTAAAAAAGCGAAAAATTGAAAAATCAAAAAACCTGAAAAATCGAAAAATCGAAGAACTGAAGAGCTGAAATTGAGAAATCGGAAAACTGAAAATTCAGAAACGTCAACATTTGATAAATTTTAAAATATTGAAGAACTGAAAAATCGACAAAGCTAAAAATCTAAAATTTAAAACATTGAAAAATTAAAATATATATCGTAAAATTGAAAAATGGAGAAATGGAAACATCAAAAAATCAAAAAAATGAAAATTCGAAAATCTAAAATTTAAAAAATCGAAAAACTGAAAAGTCAACAAATCGTGAAATCGAAACTCGAAAATTAAAAAAATTGAAAATTCAATAAACGGATAATTCAAAAATCGAAAAGCGGGAAAGTAAAAAATCGGAAAATCGAAACATCGAAAAATTCAAAAACTGAGACATTCAGAAATCGAAAACTCAAAAGATCGAGAAATCGGAATCGAAATATCGAAAAATTGAGAAACCGAAATAGGCCAAAATCGAAAAATAGAAAAGTTAAAAGTGGAAAAATTGATAAATCGAGAGATTGATCAATCAAAACATCGAAACATCCTAATTTCGATAAATCGAGATCTCAAAAAATTGAAAAATCGAACAGAAAATTGAAAAATTAAAATATAGAAAAACTGAAAACTCGAGAAATTGAAAAATCTAGAATTTTAGAAATTGAAAAATTAAAATATCGCAAAGTTGAAAAATTGAAAAATCTGAATATAAAAACGAAATGAAAAACTGAAAATCCGAAAAAATAGATTAATTGAGAAATCGAAAAACTTAAATTTTTTTAATTTACAATGTCAAAATTCGAAAAATTGAAAAATAGAAATACTGAAGAACTGAAAAATTAAAAAATCGAAAAATTTTAAATCTAAAACATTAAACAATTAAAATATCGCGAAATTGAAAAATCGGGAAATCCAAATATCGAAACATGGAAAAATTCAAAAACTAGGACATCGAGAAATCGAAAAATCAGAGGATCGAGAAATCCAGGAGTGGAAAGGCGAGAAAAAATCAAAAAATTAAAAAATTGAAAAATTTTAAAAAAGAAAAATTGGAAAATTCAAACATAGAAGAACTACAAACTCGAGAAATCGAACAACCTAGAACTTTAAAAATTAAAAAATTGAAACAGCGAAAAGTTGAAAAATTGAGAAATCGAATTATGAAACAGTCGAAAAATTGAAAAAATTAAAAATCCAGAAGTAAATAAATCCAGGAGTCCAAAAATCGAAAAATCGAAATATTGAAAAATCCCAAAACTCAAAGAAATATCCAAAAAGTTGAGAAATGAAAAAATTGGAAAAGTAAGAAATCGAAAAGCCAAGAAAGCAAAGTCGAAAAAATGTAAGCTTAAAAAAGCGAAAAATTGAAAAATGAAAAAACCTGAAAAATCAAAAATTGAAGAACTGAAGAGCTGAAATTGAGAAATCGGAAAACTGAAAATTCAGAAACGTCAAAATTTGAAAAATTTTAAAATATTGAAGAACTGAAAAATCGATAAAGTAAAAATCTAAAATTTCAAATATTGAAAAGTTAAAATATGTGTCGTAAAATTGAAAAATGGAGAAATGGAAACATCAAAAAATCAAAAAAATAAAAATTCGAAAATCTAAAATTTAAAAATCGAAAAACTGAACAACCAAAAAATCGAGAAATTGGAAAATTAAAAAATCGGATAATTCAAATATCGAAAAGCTGAAAAGTAAAAAATCGGAAAATAGAAACATCGAAAATTCAAAAACTGAGACATCAGAAATCGAAAAATCAAAAGATTGAGAAACCGAAATAGGCCAAAATCGAAAAATAGAAAAGTTAAAAATGGAAAAATTGATAAATCGAGAGATTGATCGATCAAAACATCGAAACATCTGAATCTCGATAAATCAAGATCTCAAAAAATTGAAAAATCGAAAAATTAAAAATTCGGAAAATTGAAAAATTAAAATATAGAAAAACTGAATACTCGAAAAATTGAAAAATCTAGAATTTTAGAAATTGAAAAATTAAAATATCGAACAGTTGAAAAATTGAGAAATCTAAATATATAAACGAAACGAAAAACTGAAAATCCGAAAAATAAAAAATCGAAAAATCGAAAAATCCAGAAGTCAAACAATCAAAATACTGGAAAATCCCAAAACTGAAAAAACCATCCAAAAATTGAGAAATAAAAAAATTGGAAAATAGGGAAATCGGAAACCCAAGAAAGCAAAGTTGAAAAATCGAAGAATTGAAGAACTCAAAAATCCAAACTTCGAGAAGTCGAGAAATGGAAAAATCAAAAATAGATTAATTGAGAAATCGGAAAACTGAAAATTTAGCAATGTCAAAATTTGAAAAATTGAAAAATAAAAATACCGAAGAACTGAAAACAGTTGTTCTAATTTTTTATTTTAAATTTTTCAATTTTTTTATGTGTCGATCTTTGGATTTTTCGACTTCTTGGCTTTTTGGATTTTTCAATTTTTGATATTTAAATTTAGATACTTACTAGTCAAATTTTAATTTTCCGATTTCTCGGTTTTTCGATCTTTCAACTTTTCGATTTTCCAATTTTTCGATTTCTCGTTTTTGTGATCTAGCAATTTTTTGATTTCTTAAATTTTACATTTTTCGATTTTTCAGTTTGTCGATTATATTCGATTTCTCGGTATTTCGATGTTTCAGTTTTTTGATTTTTCAATTTATCAAGTTTCCAATATTTCAGTTTTAGGATTTTTCATTATTTCCAATTTTTAAATTTTAGATTCTTCAATCCTTTGACGTATCATCCTTTTGAATTTTGACTTCACAGTTTGGGATTTTCAATTTTTTTTAATTTAAAATTTTTGATTTTACATTTTTGTATTTTTTCATGTTTCGATTTCTGTTTCAATTTTTTGATTTCAAGGTTTTTCGATTTTTCGACTTTTCAGCTTTTCGATTTTCCAATTTTTCTCTTTTGATTTTTTCAATTTTTTATTTTTCAAATTTTGAGAACTCAGTTTGGGGATCTTTCAATTTCTCGATTGTCATTTTTCCGATTTTTCACTTTTTTAATTAAAATTAAAAAATTTTTACCTTTTTCGATGTTCCAATTCTGTTTTTTTATTTTTCGATTTCTGAGGTTTGATTTTGTAATTTTTCGATTTCTCAATTTTTCAATGTTTTAGTTTTGGGATCTTTCAGTTTATCTCTGATTTCAGTTTTGGAATTTTTCAATATTTCGGATTTTTTTAATTTTAGACTTCAATAGAAATTTTTCAACGTTTTAAAATTTATATTTTTTCCTAGATTTTTCAGTTCTTGAATTTTTTTGTAAACTTTTCTAATTTTCAAATTTTAGATTTTTCAATTCAATGATGTCACTCTTTTCATTTTTCGACTTTTCGATTTCTTAAATTTGAATTTTAATTTTTCGAGTTTTTAACTTTTTCATTTTTCGACTTTTCGGTTTCTCAATTTTTCAATGTTTTAGTTTTGGGATCTTTCAGTTTATCTCTGATTTCAGTTTTGGAATTTTTCCATATTTCGGATTTTTTTAATTTTAGACTTCAGTAGAAATTTTTCGACGTTTTAAAATTTATATTTTTCGATTCCTAGATTTTTCAGTTCCTGAATTTTTTTGTAAACTTTTCTAATTTTCAAATTTTAGATTTTTCAATTCAATGATGTCACTCTTTTCATTTTTCGGCTTTTCGATTTCTTAAATTTGAATTTTAATTTTTCGAGTTTCTAACTTTTTCATTTTACGACTTTTCGGTTTCTCAATTTTTCAATGTTTCAGTTTTCGGATTTTTCAGTTCATCTTATTTTATATTTGGAAGTTTTCAATATTTCGAATTTTTTAAATTTTGGACATTTGTATTGTAAATTTTTCTACTTTTCAAATTTTAGATTTTTCGATTTCTAGATTTTTCAGTTCTTCGACTCTAATTTGTCGATTTTTCTAATATTAAAATTTTTGATTTTTCAATTCTTTGATGTGTCATTTTGATTTTTCGACTTCTCGCTTTTAGATTTTTCATTTTTTTGATTTTAAAATTTTTGATTATACATTTTTGTATTTTTTATGTTTCGATTTCTCTCTGTGTTTCAGTTTCTTGATTTCTCAAGTTTTTTTGATTTTCCAATTTTTCTGTTTTGATTTTTTAAATTTTTTATTTTTCAAATTTTGAGAACTCAGTTTGGGGATTTTTCAATTTCTCGATTGTCATTTTTCCGATTTTTCACTTTTTTAATTAAAATTAAAAATTTTGTACCTTTTTCGATGTTCCAATTTTTCAATGTTTTAGTTTTGGGATCTTTCAGTTTATCTCTGATTTCAGTTTTGGAATTTTTCAATATTTCGGATTTTTTTAGTTTTAGACTTTTCAATATAAATTTTTCGACTTTTTAAAATTAGATTTTTTGATTCCTAGATTTTTCAGTTCTTGAATTTTTTTGTCAACTTTTCTAATTTTCAAATTTTAGATTTTTCAATTCGATGATGTGTCACTCTTCATTTTTCGAGTTTTCGGTTTCTCTATCTTATTTCATATTTGGAAGTTTTCAATATTTCGAATTTTTTAAATTTTGGACTTTTGTATTTTAAATTTTTCGACTTTTCAAATTTTAGATTTTTCGATTTCTAGATTTTTCAGTTCTTCGACTCTAATTTGTCGATTTTTCTAATTTTAAAATTTTTGATTTTTCAATTCTTTGATGTGTCATTCTTTTGATTTTTCGACTTCTCTTTTTTAGATTTTTCATTTTTATTTTAAAATTTTTGATTTTTCCATCTTTCAATTTCTTGGTTTCAAGATTTTTGATTTTCCAATTTTCCCATGTTTCAATTTTTTTAATATTTTTTATTTTTAAAATTTTGAGAATTCAATTTGGGGATTTTTCAATTTCTCGAAATCAGTTTATCCAACGTGAACAAAAAATTTCATGGCTCACTTTAGTCTAAAAACATTCTAGACGTAGTCGTGTCGGAAAAACTGCCGTCAAATATTGAAACCTGTTGACGTCTAGTTGACACAACCCTAGGAAGATGAGTATACATCCTAAGAACCTCTCCCACCGCCCCTATTTCCACTCTTTCTGTGCACAGGACTCTTTCCCTACCGCGTCTGGATCGCCGTAATGATCTTCTTTTCCGGCTTCACCAACTACATGATGCTGAGCAGCATTTCCGTCTCCATCGTCCAGATGGTCGGTCAACCCACCATAGTACCCATCCCCGCGTGCAAACGCGTCAAGGGCGGAACCACCACCAAAGAAATCAATCGAACAGTAAGTAAGCCCCCAACTCGACCCTCTACCAACTCTGCCGTTAGCAAACAACCCACCGAGTCTACGACTGGACCGAGAGCCAAAAATCCGACATCCTGGGGGGCTACTTCTGGGGCTACCTGATGACCATTATCCTAGGCGGCGTCCTCTCCGAGCGGATCGGGCCGTGGCACGTCCTCCTGTGGAGCAGCTTGCTTGCCGCCATCAGCACGGCTCTCGTCCCCTTATTCGCCGACTTGGGTTACGTGGCGGTGACGTGCGCCAGGGTGGTGGTCGGGATGTGTGGGGTAATTCGCCTGCTCTTCGAAGACGACTTCCACTGATCCGAGTTTTCCAGGGGGTGGCATATCCTGCGATTAATACGTTGATGGCCAGCTGGGCGCCTCCGCAGGAGAAGGGCAAGTTCGTGGCGGCTTCCCTAGGGAATACTTTCGGGATGGTGGTGACTTTCGCCGTCGTCGGGGCGGTGACGCACGCGACGGGGTGGCCGTGGGGATTCTACGTCCTGGCGATGATCATGGTGACTTACTGCTTGTTTTTCGGGTTTATTGTTAGCGACGAACCGGAGAAGTCCAGGTGCACGTCGCAGGAGGAGAGGGATTTTATTCTGGAGTCACAAGAAGGGCATCTGAACAGGAAGAAAAAGGTATTGCTTTTAGGGCCCGGGAACTTGGTGAATTTTACTCAAAAGCTGACAAATTGTTGTTCAATATTCGGAGTGAAATCAGAATTTTTTGAAATTTATAAAAATTGGGACAGTTCAGTTGGCGTTTCTGGAAAACCAGTTGGAGTTAAAAATAAAATTCGCAAAATCAAATTTTATAATTTTTTGAAAACACTGGATTTATTTACCTTCGATCATTTTTTGATATTAGAATTTTTCGTTTTTTCATTTTCTTTCATTTTCAGTTTATCAATTTTTCGTTTTTACAATTTTTCATTTTTCGATCTTTCAGTTTTGTTTTTCATATTCTCGATTTTTTTATTAAGACCCCATCTTGATTCCTGTGACTACTCTTAATATTATTCAATCTTATCTTGGCAAGTACTAGCCCCGCCCACCCACCCTCTATTTTCTTAAAGTTCAAAACTTCACAGTTTTTAGACTTTTTAAGTTTAATTTTTTCAGTTTTTCAATTTTTCGATTTACAGTTTTTTATTTCGGTTTTATATTTTCCTTATTTTTTCAATTATTCGATTTTTCAAAATTTCAATTCTTTAATTTTTTGTATTTTTCTGTTTTAATTTATTTAGTTTCTCGTTTTTTCAATTTTTCCATTTGTGATTTTTCAATGTTTCATTTTTTTGTTTTTTCAGTTTTTAGATTTTGCATTTTTTCGAATTAAAATTTGTCGAGTTTTACAATTTCTTATCCTCCAAATTTTTTTTTAATTTCTCATTTCTTCAAATTTTCGATTTGCAGTTTTTCGTTCGGTTTTTTATTTTCATTACATTTTGTTTGATTGTGGTTTAATTAACAATTTTAGTTCTGTGTTTTGAGGTAACTCATTCAAATCTAAACAAATTTCTACGTGACATTCTTTAGATGTAGAAAAATTAATAAACACTTGAGCTTCAGATTGCTATTACCTAGTGCTGAAAGACATTTTATCCCATTAGTTATGCCCTTTAAAATATATTTTACATTGTCTGACCGGTTTTAAAGAGCTGGATTTGTCACCAATTTTTTATTGTCCAATTGAGAACCTCATTTTCTAAGAAAATGACTGGTAGAGGGTATATCAATTGGCAAAATCAGTCTTATCTTCGCAAATATTTGTCCCACCCACCCACCCTTTATTTTCTTAAAGGGTATGTTATTTGCTAAGATAAGACTGATTTTAAGTAAAGTAAGACTTTATTTAATTATGATCAAATAAGAATAATAATAATCATATTCAAAACCCAAGAAACGAAATTTGTGAGACTCTAGTTCAAGAGCGAGGGAAGTTCCGTCGAAGTAACCTCGGACCAATTTTTTCAATTTTTCAATTTCAAATTCATGAGTTTTCAATTTTTCGACTTTTTAATTTTTCATATCAATTTCGAAAGATTTGTAATTTCTCGTTTCTGTTTTTACTTTGTTTATTGCTTCAGTTTTTCGGTTTTTCTTCTTTCAATGTGAAAATTTTCGATTTTTCAGTTTCTCGATTTTAAATTTTTGGTTTCTTCAATTTTTGATGTGAAATTTTTTTTATTTTCATTTTAAATATGCAATAATTATAATTTTTAAAATTATTCATTTTTTCATTTTTACGATTTTAGATTATTTCCTTTTTTCAATTATTGGATTTTAAAACTTCTCATTTATTCAGTTTTTCAGTTTCTCGAGATTTAACTTTCAATTTTCCGATTTTTCAATGTTACACTTTTTGAACTTCACAATTTTACGATTCTATAATTAAAATTATTCTATTTTACAATTTTTAAGTTTTCCAATGTTTTTATTTTTAAGTTTATCGAATTTTAGTTTTTTAATGATTGAATTTTTCATCTCTTCAGGTCTTCGATTTTCCATTTTTCGATTTTCCACTTTTTCGATTTTGCAACTTTTCGTTCTTTCAGTTTTTTTTAGTTTTTCGATTTCTCAATTTTTCGAATAAAAAAAGAAAAATTTATAAATTGTAAACCAAACACTTGAAAAATTGAAGAATCAAAAAAGGGCAAAATCAAAAAAACGAAACATGTATATTCAAACAGAAATATTGAAAATTAAGAAAGTCGGAAAATCGGAAAAGTGGAAATCCAAAAATTCCAAATTGAAAAACTAAAAAATTCGTCGAGAAAGTATAAAAGTGCCAAGACGCCCGATGAAGTCGATTACTATACTTCATTAGTTTACGCTCGATAAGTAAAATTGGCCTCTCAGTAATAGCAACAACTTGAAGTGTATATGTTTATACATCGGAAGAATGTCACGTAGAAATTAGTTTGATTTGAATAAAATTGTCGTCTCAAAACAGAGGATTAAAATTATTAGTTAAGCCACAATCGAAAAAATGTTCATATTTAATCATTATTAAACAAAGACATACGTATTCTCATATTTTCAAGAAAATTCCCAATTTTTAATTTTTCGATTTTTCAATTTTTCGTTTCCTCAGTTTTTCAAGTTTTTGATTTTTATTTTTCATTTCCCCGATTTTTTAGCATTTTTCCGATTTTGTCACAATTTTGCGTTTTTTCATTTGTTTTATTGTTTCAATGTTCGATTTTATAATTTTTGGTTTATTCAAATTTTTAATCTTTGAGTTTTTAATTCCAATTTTTTAGTTTTTCAATTTGGAATTTTTGGATTTCCATTTATTCGATTTTCCGATTTTTTTAATTTTCAATATTTCGATTTGACTATACATTTTCTTGATTTCCAATTTTTAGATTTTTCAAGGTTTTTATTTTGTACTGTTTTATTTTTAATTTTTGATTTATTATTTCACAATTTTGCAATTTTTCCATTTTTTAATTCGAAGAAAAACTGTAAAATTGAAAAATTGCACAATCAGAAGAGAGGAAAACCGAAAAATTGAAAATCGAAGAACTGGAGAAACGAAAAATTGAAGCACTGAAAAACAAAAATCCAGAAATTTATAAATTGCAAAAAAAATGAATCGAACAATTTTAAATTTTTTTCGATTCATCAAAATTGAAAATTAAATATCAAGAAACCGAAAAATCGAATAAATGAAAATGTTTTAAAATCCAGTAATTGGAACATGGAAAAATTGTAAAATCGTAAAAGTGAAAAAGTGAAAAATTTTAAAATTGTAGTTGTTATTAGTTAGGAGTATCTGAAATGAAAACTAGAATCAAATCAAACCAAAATTTGAAAAATTGAAAAAAATAAAGAAAATCAAAAACCGAAACGAAAACTTGCAAAACGAAAATATGAAGAAATGAAAAACAGAAAAGTTAAAAATTGAAAAATCCAAATCACAAATCGAATCATTGGAACATCAAAGAACCGAGAAATCGAAAAATTGGAAAATAGACAAATTGAAGAATTGAAAAATTGAAAATGCGTGAAATTGCGAAGCGAAAAATTGTAAAAAATTTAAAAATGAAACCTCGAAAAGTTGTGTATCGTAAAATTTAAGAAACAGCGAAATAAAAAATTGAAAAATTGCAAATCGAAAAATTGGCGAAACGAGAACCCGAAAAAATTAAAACAGAAAAAACAAAAGTTGTAAAATCGAAACATTGAAAAAATAAAGAAAATAAAAAGCCGAAAATTACCAATTAGAAACTCGAGAAACTCAAATCGAAAATCTGAAGAAACAAAAAAAAACGATTTTGCACTTTTTCGATTTTTAAGTATTTGAATTTTTAGTCTTTCGATTTTTGAATAGTTCGTTTCTTCAATTTTTCTTGATTTCCAATTTTTAGGTTGTTTAAGGTTTTCATTTTATACTGTTTTACTTTTCATTTTTGAATTTTTAATGTTACCATTTGCAATTTTTCCAATTTTTTGTTAGTTATATTAGGCACGTGGAACGAAAACACGAACAACAGTTAACACATTTATTATACAAACACAAGTAAATATACATTACAGTGAACTTAGACACGCGCGCGGACCACCGACCAGCCATTGGTGTGACGTTCGTCTTCGTCATGGCTACGTCATCGCTGGCGCAGTCGCGCAGACTACCGCCATCGCCAACTCCATCAATCTCTCGAGATAAGGCCGTTTCAATTTTTCATTTTCCATTGATAAAAATGTTCCCGTTTGATGGACATATAGTGTCGCCACCAAACGGTTACATTACTATATACTTAAAGTAAACTGCTAAACTGACAGCGTGTTGACAACAGAGGTTGACAGCGTTAGTTTATTAGAGTTGTGAAGAAATATTTTAGAAAAACAAAGCATAATTTTTATTTTGTTTCTACACATAAATAACAATAATAATTAAACCAAAATTGCTGGTTATAATTTTAACACTTTTCGGCTCGAAGGTTTATTTTTCAAACCTAATCTCTTTAACGAATCCGTTGTTCTTAAACAAATATTATCGAGTACAGGTTTTGCAGCTGTAGTTATAATAAATCTGCAAACTGCATCTCTGTGTTCAGTGCAGGAGAATATAGTGTTTTTAAGAAGGTGAGGATGTATCCAGTCAATTAATTTTTTGCAAATATTTTCCCCTTTCAGGCAAGGTACTAAATTTTGAATTGTTGATGTTAATTTATAAATAACGCCAACAAAACGCTCGTTAGGACTTATTAGTCCGCCTCGATTTTGATAAGTAATTAATTTTAAAAGCGGTCCTGGTGTTGTTGTGGATAAAAATTGTCTGCTACATTCATCACAAGCAAATTTTTGTTCTACCTTCTTGATAATATATCCGGACAAAAATGCAACAGATGCAGACATAATATTATTTGCAGGTATGAAATATTCACTCAAGTGGTAGATTTCATCTCTTATAATGATGGGTAAGAGTATCTCCTCGTCAATTTCGTCACTGTTTTCTTCATTTCTTTTTTCCAAAGTTGAAATAGTAGATCTACTAACATAACCACTTTTTTCTGCTGGATTTGACGATGCAGAAACTTTTACAATTCCGCAACGGAGAATTTGCCGTAGTGCATATTCCGCTGCCCTGGCATCTGTTTGATCCTGCGAACCACCTCTCAATCTGATATGGGAAAATGTAGCTTCTATGGCATCAGAACTAAATGAACGTGTCAATACGTAATAAAATCCTGCTTGGGTAAGCAAAAACTTGATGCATAAGTAAGTACTTTTAGAGGTGAACTGAAGTGCATGGGCAGTCTCTTTACTAAGTCCCTTTAAACCAATCCGCGCTGAACAGTTCTGGATGTCTTCAATATAATTTGGAAACGTGATATTTAACCAATGGAGACGTTCATCATCAACATTTATAAACGGAGCAACGCTGCTGTCTAAAGAATGAATATAATGTTGTTTGTTTGATACATTATGCACTTGAAAAAAATTATACATCATTTCCATAAAGTTTACAGTGCTGGAGACTCCTGAGAAATTACTGTCACCTGAATCTTTTAAAAATCTTAGTGATGAAGTAACTGTAGGATGAAATACTTGAATTGCTCTTAGTACGTTCATCTTTTCGAAATTTGATGGGAATAAATGTTTTTTCGTTAGGTATTTTACAGGTTTTACAGGCATATCCTTCTGTAATTCATAAAGTTGTTTGAGATAACCTGACGAAATCATGCCTTCTGAAGAAAATAAATTATGATCTAAAAACAAATTTCTGGCATTTTTTATGGCATGACAGAAATCAAAACTCAAGAATAATGGAAGTTGTTCTAAAATAGGATGATTAATGCAATTTTTTAGAGAGTCATCACCAAATTTTTTGAACAGGGCAACATTTATTGATGCGTTATCTGTAACAAGTCTCAGAACAATAAATCCACAATCTGTTACAAATTGTAACACATTCTTAGTCAGTGAATATAACTCATCTGCCGTCAACGTAGAATGGAAGAAGTAACCTGTAGGTATGGTATACCTTGTGGACAATCCGTGTATCACAAAACAAAGCATTTTGTTTGCCACTTTAGGTTTTTCACCAATTGTTTTTTCAGGTTTTGATGTGTCAAGACCATAAATTCTATCTTCTGATCGGCTATAATGTAGTTTTTCAGTGATTGTCATGTCATCTAGAATTAAAGAGCAGACTCTTTCTATTGGTTGAGATAGTTGTGCTATCTCAGTACATAAACGTTTCTTAATTAGTTCATTTTGCCCCTGGTAATCACCTATGTACCTTGAAATGGTGGCTTTGGAGGGTAGTTTAATCAAATTGTTATGACAAAATTTATAGCCTTTAGGGCTGCAGAATCTCCATACTGTACACATACGGACGGTAATTTCTGACCATCTTGGTATTTTTTTATTATAATTTTTTAGAATGTCTAAAATAAATAAAGATTTTTCATCTGCATTGGTTGCATTCTCAATAATTTTCTCAATGTTTAATGTTTTTAATGTAGTGACCTGTTCTTCCAAATGATTTACTTTTGATAGACATTGCGAATATTTTGCCTGCATTCTCTTAAGCTGTAACTTTAATACCTTACATTGATATTTGAGATCCTGAAACTCTTTGTTTTCATCAGACTGCATTTGTGAAATTTGATTAGAATTTTGTTGTTCTAAAACTACAGTCGGCTTTAGACTTGGTAGGATGTTAGTAGAATCAGTAATCTGAAATATATAAGGCTATAGTAAAGTGTATGTTGCCAACGGAAATTTGTTTTTATCTACGTTAAAAGTGGGAACTGCGTTTTTGCAAAGGCGCATTCGTTTTGCTTTGGCATCGAAACAGTCTCTTCCAAAATGGTTGGAACATAACACTGTGTAATCACTTATTTTACTCGAATCTACAATAATGTTTTAACGAGTTGTTACATTTTTTCCATTTTACAAACCACAAACTAATTTTAACGACTCCATCCATTTGTTTCGCACATTAACATCATTTGGAATGCTAAAAAATGGTTTTTCTGCATTTCCGCAAACAAAACATTTTCGTCCCATCGTGGAAATATCAAATGAATTTGAAAAAGTCAAATTTACATTTGAAAATGATAGTTCACGTAGAGCTATGGAGATGGCGCAGTCGTATGTTCACCGCGGCCTCCTTTGCGGGAACAACTTTTTACAAAATTGAAACGGCCTTATCTCGAGAGATTGATGGAGTTGGTGATGCTACCGCCGAACACGCACTCCATCTATGTTTCCTAACAAAAATTTACAATGTCAAAATTTGAAAAATTAAAAAATAGAAATACTGAAGAACTGAAAAATCAAAAAATTGGAAAATCGAAAAATTTAAAATCTAAAACATTAAACACTTAAAATACCGCGAAATTGAAGAATCGAAAAATCGAAACATGGAAAAATTCAAAAACTAGGACATTGAGAAATCGAGAAATCATAGAATCGAGAAATCCAGGAGTGGAAAGCCGAGAAGAAATAAAAAAATTAAAAAATCGAAAAATTTTAAAAAAGAAAAATTGGAAAATTCGAAAATTTAAAAACTCGGAAAATTGACAAATTCAAACATGAAAGAACTGCAAACTCGAGAAATCGAACAACTTAGAATTTTAAAAATTGAAAAATTGATACAGCGAAGAGTTAAAAAATTGAGAAATCGGAGTGTGAAACAGTCGAAAAATTTAAAAATTTAAAATTTAACGAAAAATTAAAAATCCAAAAGTAAAAAAATCCAAGAGTACAAAAATGAAAAGTCGAAAAGTCGAAATATTGAAAAATACCAAAACTCAAAGAAATATCCAAAAAGTTGAGAAATTAACAAATTGGAAAAGTAAGAAATCGAAAAACCAAGAAAGCAAAGTCGAAAAAACGTAAGCTTAAAAATTGGAAAAATTGAAAAATCAAAAAACCTGAAAAATCGAAAAATTGAAAGATTGAAAAAAATCGAAACTTTGGGAAGTCGAGAAATGGGAAAATAAAAAAAAAGATTGATTCAGAAATCATTTCAGAAAACTGAAAATTTAGAAACGTAAAATCTGAAAATCGAAATATTTAAAATTCGTAAAATTGAAGAAAGAGGACAAAAATTGACAAAATCGTATCATTGAAACATCGGAAAATTGAGAAATCGAAAAATAAAAAATCGAGAAATATTGGAAAATTTTTTCAATAAAATTGTTAGATGACATCATCAATTTCTGGACCATGAACGAATAAAGTTTGGAAATTGGAAAAGGTTGTTTATTTTTTTTCCAATCCGTCTAAGGTAAAAAGTCAACACCGTAATCGTAGGATATAAAATTTAAATTACATCTACTATTGTAAAATTTGGAGATTAAGTCATTTCATTCTTGGTGACAAATTTTGGCGAGCGTTTTACCATTTGATAGTACAATTTGAAATGTAAATTTTGTCATTCGGGAACATTATGTATCAAATCGTTAAAATGTTCAAGAACATTGTTCACTTATTCGTTGTAATGTCCGACCAGAGGTCGAAACGGGTTGGTTCTTCGTTCAGATCAGCTCTAACGAAAGTTGGCTTATATGTAGATAAATCGCTTAGAGTCGATATTAGCTTGAATGCGCTGTCGTCTGTGGATCAAACAAGTTCTCAGGCGACTTGATTGTGCTAGCTGGTACCAAGTTAGAACAACGAGATGCTAGCTTTTGAGTAAAATTCAATAACTTGATGTTGCCAAGTTCATTATTACTATTATTATTAAAGGACGGATTTTAGCCAAAAATTTTAGGATTTAGGCCCAAAAATGGCGAAATTTAGGCAAGTTTTGGGAAAAATAAATTTTACTCAACGTCATACATACAGATTCCATACAAAGCGCAAAGAGTTTGTGTTTGAGTGATGTCCCTACAGTTTCTATGCAGAAAACCAATTCTAAAAGCTTTAGGTACTATATCATTAATATGCTCAATGATAGAGAACTTCGAATCAAAAATTATAACAAAGTCTTTAATGCGACCCTATATGGAAAAATTATATTTGCCTGTATACTGGAATAGGTTACAACACAGCATTTATCTGTATTCTGTATGAAGAAATAATTCATTTCTTATGCACCAATTTAACACATTTGTAACATTTTTCTGCAAACTTGTACAATCATCAATCGAATCAATGCTCATCAGTCATAAAAAAAAGCTTTTCACATGAAATAATACTCGCTAGGTCGTTGATAAAGATAAGAATAACAAAGGTCCCAGACTGGAGTCCTGAGGCACTCCAAGTGGTGGGGATGATTAGATAAATTTTGGTTAGCGTTTTACCATCTACATGCTATTTCTAATATAAATACAAAATTTGACAACAATCGGCTCAGTACTTTCGGAGATTATCTGTCTAATACAGAGACGGGACGGAAGACAGCCGGACAGACGGACAAACAGACGGAAACGGAAGACCTATTTCTTCATCCTCTAGGGGTCATGATATGTCGAGAAAATGCAAAAGTAGAGAGTCGGCCGACGGACTCGATTACAATACTTCCTTGGCTTACGCTCGGGAAGCAAAATGCAACAAAGGCACTCTTGATCAAAAATAGTCAACTAGGCAAAAACAAGTAGGACTCAAATAAAAGAATTTTCTCAGATACACATTTATATACAACTTTCATACATTTGCCTACAACCAAAATGAAAACGCCTTCATTCTAGAATCCGCTCTTTAATAATTATACATATATATTAGGTATTATAACCTTAAACGACTTGTTTGCAGAAATTTCCGCCTTTCCTTAAAATCTTCTCCTCGAAGCCCTTCCTCACCCTAACCTTCTGCCAGTTCGGCAGCCTGTGGGGCCTGTACCAAACCGTCACCTACTTGCCCTCGTTCCTCTCCAACACCATAGGCTTAGAGCTGGACACGGCTTCGTCCTTGGCCGGATTGCCTTACCTGGCCAGAGGCATCTGCTGCTTCATCTTCGGAATAGTCGGCGACTGGATGCGAAAAAAGAAAATCATGTCCGTGACCAACATCCGGAAATTTTTCATCATCTTTTGTAGACGCTCCCAAGCATACCGAATTTGGTTAATATTGCAAAACCGTAGCTCACTTTATCCCGGCGGTGTGCTGTTTCCTGATACCGGCGGCGGGTTGCAGTGCCGCAGGAATCGTAATTCTGGTGATGATCATGCAGGGATCGAACGGATCTGTGGCGGTGAGCAACTTGATCAATCCGCAGGACTTGGCGCCGAATTTTGCTGGGACCGTTTTTGGGATAATGCAGACGTTTGCGACGTTCGCCGGGGCTATAGTGCCCAAAGTGACGTCGGCGTTCTTGGATTATTATGTATGGTGATTTGGTAGGGACGACGGGGTTTAGATGTTTATTTTGCAGGATAGAGAATATATCGCTTCTACGATAGCGTTTGCCATTGCGGGTGGGGTGTATGTTATTTGTGGGTTAGCTTTCGTTTTGTTTGGGTCTGGTGAGACTCAACCGTGGAACGAAATTCCAGACTGAATATTTTGGGGTCGCTTCGAGGGAAAAGAACAATATAAAAATGAGAAGTTTCGCTACTGTGAAGTCTTACATAAAATAAAAACGGTTTCATAACCTTAACGGTTTTGTTTTTTTGGAAGACACATAGGGCTAATGTATATGCACAAATATTTGTCAAAATTTAAATTTAGTAGACCCTTTATCACTTAAATAACTTATCAGTAGATTGGGAATATAAAGTCCGCATTATTCGAAGATTTTGTCTTGTGTCATTTTCAAATTGTCAACTAGGTCAGGTTGATCAGTTAATAAAAAAAAAAAACCTCCGATCTCAAATCTACCCGTACGCTGGGTACTTTTGCGTGCGATAGTAGGGGAAAGGTGCCTAAAATGATCCCCCTAAGGGAGAAATTCTTTAAAAAATACAAATTATTATAATTCATGTAAAACTGTAGCATTATTTGTAAGAACATTGATTTATCTAGGTAACAGTATAAGCCAATTGGTGATTCGATAATTATAAAAAAAGTTATTAACGTTTTTCCAGGACCTTACAAAAGGATCATTTTAGGCATCCCCATAGGTAAAATGATCCCTCGGCATGGGCATAATGATCCCTTTGAATTTTGAGCATAAGGGGACAGCATCAACAAGAAAAATCAAATCATGACAACTGATAAATATTTTATTTCAAAAATTAACAAAAAAATAAATTCTTAAAAAAAAATAAACAAAAAAAGTTTGAAAGAGTTTGAGACAATACTTTAGTCATCAGTACGTGCTAAGATAAGACTAATTTTGCCAAATGGGATACCCTCCAAGAAAAGAGAGGGCGGGTGGGCGGGCCTACTACCTGCTAAGATAAAACTGAATTTGGCAAATGATATACCCTCTAAGAAAAGAGAGGGTGGGTGGGTGGGGCTAGTAACTGCTAGGATAAGACTGAATTTGGCAAATCATATACCCTCTAAGCAAAGAAAGGGTGGGTGGGTGAGGCTAGTAACTGCTAAGATAAAACTGAATTTGGCAAATGACATACACTCTAAGAAAAAAGAGGGTGGGTGGGTGGGGTTAGTAAGTGCTAAGATAAGACTGAATTTGGCAAATGATATAGCCTTTAAGAAAAGAGAGGGCGGGTGGGGGGGTCTACTAATTGCTAAGATAAAACTGAATTTGGCAAATGATATATCCTCTAAGAAAAGAGGGGGTGGGTGGGTGGGGCTAATACTTGCTAATATAAAACTGATTTTGGCAAATGAGATACCCTTTAAGAAAAGTGACGGCGGGTGACTGGGATTAGTACCTCTTAAGACTCAGAATTTCCCAAAAATAAAACACGAAAATCCGTAAAATTCTTTTAAATTATTTAAATTTCCCCGTCTTAAGAGGTACTAGCTCCACCCACCCTCCCTCTCCTCTCTTAGAGGGTATTTCATTTGCGAAAATCAGTTTTATTTTAGCAGGTAGTAGGTGGGTGCGGCTAGTAACTGCTAAGATAAAACTGGTATTGGCAAATGGTATTCCCTCGAAGAAACTAAAGGGTGGGTGGGCGGGGTTAGAGGATATGTCATATGCAAAAATCAGTCTTATCCTAGCAGGTAGTAGCCCCGCCCACCCACCCTCTTTTTTCGTGGAGGATATGTCATTTGCGAAAATCAGTCTTATCTTATTAGGTACTAGCCCTCTAACAAGATAAAGGGCGGATGGGCCGAGCTAGTGCTTGGCAAGATAAGGCTGATATTGGCAAATAACATACATTCTAAGAAAATAACGGGCGGGTGGGTGGGGTTAGTACTTGCTAAGATAAAACTGATATTGGCAAATGGTATTCCCTCAAAGAAAATAAAGAGTAGGTGGGCGGCGTTAGAGGATATGTTATCTGCAAAAATCAGTCTTATCTTAGCAGGTACTAGCCCCGCCCACCCACCCTCTCTTTTCTTAGAGGGTATATGATTTGCAAAAATCAGTCTTATCTTAGCAGGTACTAGCCCCGCCCAATGATCCGGGATCATTTTGCCTCAAGAAAAAGTGATCATTTCGCCTTAGGTAGCATATCCGCATTCAAAAATTGTAAACTAACCTTCAGTTTTTACATGCGGTAAAAAGATCATAACTAATCTACGACTGAAATGTATCTAACTCTGTCAAAACAACTACCACCGCTATAAGACCTTTCAAATGGAAGTAATGGATTTTTAAAATATATCTTACCTTAGATCAGAGGTGCTTATTTTACATATTTTGGCACAAAACTGTGCAGAATACACAGAACGCCATCAAACTTTCAGAAGCTACTAATTACAGAGCGCTTAATCAAATAACAGTTATGTTTGGTAGATGGGGCCACAAATTTTCTTACAATTGATGGGGATCATTTAACCTGAGGGGATCATTTTAGGCACTTTTCCCCTACACACAAAATTATTAAAAATGTCACTTCAAACTACAAGATAATGAAAAACACTTAAAAAAATGCAAAATGTAGTAGAAAAATTTGAATTCCAAATTCACTGTATGTTAATCTATAGAATTTTTTTTAATTTACATTTTTACCCCATCGATAATCATTTAAATTACCTCAGATTTATAATGTACCTTAATTATAAGAACTAGAATAAGAAGATTTTTTGCGATTTTTGTTTTGATAACCCATAGAAATTTTAGACTTAAATTTCTTAATTCGTGAATTTTTCATTTTTTGTTTCTTCAGTTTTTCGATTTACAATATGTATTTGAGTTTTCAAGTTTAAATTTATGAGTTTTTCAATTTCCGAACTTTCGAATTTTTCAATTTATAGAATTTGCAATTTTTTTATTGAGTTTCTCATGTTTTAATTTTATAATTTTTCAATATTTCGATTTACAATTTTTCGTTTCGGTTTCTTATCGTCTTTGTTTTTTCAGTTATTCGTCTTTTCAATTTTTCGATATTATAATTTTGCATTTTTATTGTTTCTTCAATTTTTAGATTTTTCAGTTTTTCAATTTTTTAGTCTTTCGTTTCTTTAAATTTTCGATTTGCAATTTTTCGTTTTGGTTTTTTTGTTTTCGTCATTTTTATTAGTAAAATTTAATTTTGTAGAATAAATTATACCCAAAATGAGCAAAATATGATGAGTTTTTACTTATGATTTATCATTGCATTCATATTTTTTAAATTTGCCCGCTATTTTCTCAGAGGATATGTCATTTGTCAAAATTAGTATTATCTCAGCAAGGACTAGCCCCGCCCACCCGCCCTGTATTTTCTTGGAAGATATGTCATTTGCCAAAATAAGTCTTACGTCAACAATTACTAGCCCCGCCCACCCGCCCCCTATTTTTTCAGAGGATATGTTATTTGCCAAAATCAGTCTTATCTTGCCAAATACTATCATTTTGACATACTTTGAAAAAAATAGAGGGCGGGTAAACGGTGCTAGTACTTGTTAAGATAAGACTTATTTTGGCAAATAACATAATCCTCTGAGAAAATCGGGGGTGGGTGGGCGGGGCTAGTACTTGCTAAGGTAAGACTAATTTCGTCTCTATTAATCTTGTAGAAACTTGTTAAATTTAAAAAGGTGTTAAATTGCAAATTTCCATAGTAACGAGTTAAATTCCAAAATCTGATTGGGTGTTTTGTTTATTTTTTGTTTCATTCTACTTCAGGAACGAGGGAAGTTCTGTTGAAGCAACTTTTAACCAATTTTTTCAATTTAAATTTTTCGTTTCTTCAATTTTCGATTTTTCAAATATTCATTTCTTCAGTTTTTCGATTTGCAATTTTTGGTTTAGGTTTTTCATTTTCTTAATTTTTTTGAATTTTTCGGGTTTTCGATGTTCTGATCTTAATTTTTCTTTTTTCATTATGAATTTGTCCAGTTTTTGCATTTTTCAATTTTTGGGTTTTCCAATTTTAACTGTTCGATTTTTCAATGTTCCGATTTAATAATTGTCCGTTTTTTCAATTTGGTTTATTCAATTTTTTGATTCTTCAATTTTTCGATTTTTCAAATTTTCATTTCTTCAATTTTTCAATTTTTTGTTTAGGTTCCTCATTTTCATTATTTTTTTCAATTTTTCGGTTTTACAATGTTCTGATCTTAGTTTTTCTTTTTTTTTTCAACGTGAAATTTTTAAATTTTCGATTTTCAGTTTTTCGTTTCGGCTTTTTATTTGCTTCATTTTTACTGTTTTTCGATTTTTCAACGTTCCGATTTTATAATTGTTCGTTTTTCTAATTTCAATTTTTTCTTCAGTTTTTCGATTTGCAATTTTTTGTTTAGGTTTTTCGTTTTTTTTTTTTTTATTTTTCTGTGTTTCAATGTGACATCTCAAGTTTTTTCTTTTTCAATATAAAATTTTTCTATTTTTTGGTTTTCAAATTTCAGATTTTGCTTTTTTCGATTCGTTAGTTTTTCGTTTCTTCAAATTTTCGATTTTCAATTTTTCGTTTTGGCTTTTTTATTGTTTTTCGATTTTTCACAATGTTCCGAGCACGTCACCTTAATTCTTTTTTTTTTCTCTTAATATTTAATTAATCTTTCTGTTATATTATTTTCCTGTAATTGGGTGGTTGTCTAACCCGTTGGAAATAAATGCATTATTATTATTATTATTATTGATATTATTATTTTACAATTCTTCGTTTCATCAACTTCAATTTTTTAAATTTTTTGTTTCAATTTTTCGATTTTCAAATTTTTATTTCTTCAATTTAGCGATCTGCAATTTTCCGTTTAGGTTTTCCATTTTCTTTTTTTTTCAAATTTTCAGTTTTTCATAGTACTGATGTTCTGATCTTAATTTTTCTTTTTTTTTTTAATCTGCAATTTTCGATTTTTATATTTTGCAGTTTTTAGATTCCTTAGTTTTTCGGTTTTTCAAATTTTTGATTTACAATTTTTCGTTTCGGCTTTCTATTTTCTTGATTTGCCAATTGTTCGTTTAGTTCAATTTTAATTTTTCGTTTCTGTAATTTTTCGATATTTCAAATTTTCATTTCTTCAATTTTTCAATTTGCAATTTTTCATTTTATTAATTTTTTTCAATTT